GTAATCATGTCCGATCTGACGGAGGCCTGGAAGTGAGTGCGCGAGGTGGTTATAAAAGGCTTCTACCCCCCCAGGGATGAGGTATGCTAACTTCCGCGCTATCTGGTTATTCTTGCCTTTGAAAGACTCTAACTTGAGGTTCGGAGCCCTTACGCCGGGTTTCTCCCCAGAGCCTCTCTTCTCCTCCTGTTTCAGGTCCCTGTTACTCATTTCGGAGGCAAGATCATCAACAGCTAAGACCGGCCAGATTGTGCATCATCAGAACCCAACTCACCTTTGATCCCAACAATGTTTTGGCTAGCAACTGGACGACCAGTGCCTCGTTCTGTAATGGATCGGGGTATCTTGCAGTCGCCGTCGGCAAAGAGTCGCTGCTCTTCGTCTTCCGGACATGGGTCTGGTGGGCACCATTGCACCGAATATTGGCAACCTCTCCTTTCTGGTTTTGCTCCACCTCGGAAACAACAGTCTTCATGGACACCTGCCAAATGAAGTCGGTCGTCTGCGTCGCTTGAGGGTGTTGATTCTGCAAGATAACAAACTGGAAGGCCACATTCCTTCAAGTTTATCGCAGTGCTCGAGGCTTCAAGAAGTTTCACTTCCTTACAATAGATTCACTGGAAGCATACCAAGTGAACTGGGCAATTTATCAGAGCTACGCGAGTTGTTTATCGGAGGTAACAAGCTTCAGGGAAGTATCCCATCTTCTCTTGGTAACATCTCTACGTTACAGAGTTTGGCCCTGGAGAGAAACACTCTGGGTGGAAGTATCCCAGAGGAGATTGGTGATCTCATTAATTTAAGGGAATTGCTTTTGCCAGAAAACCATCTGTCAGGCCTAATTCCTTTGTCAATTTTCAATATTTCTTCTCTTCACATCATTGATCTCACTGAGAATAGCCTCTCTGGAAAGCTCCCCAATAATATATGCCTCCATCTTCCAAACCTTGAAGAGTTATATCTTGCGGACAATCAGATCAGTGGGTCAATTCCATCTGATCTGTGTCAGTGTGGAGATCTCTGGGCCCTATCTTTAGCACAAAACAAGTTCACTGGAAACATACCAAGAGAAATTGGATGCTTAACTGAGCTTTTGTTTCTGTCACTTGGTATTAACCACTTGACAGGTTCTCTTCCACCTTCCCTGGGTAACATTTCAAAACTAGAGGAGCTCTATTTGGGTGAAAACAGCTTACAGGGAAATGTTCCTAAAGAGTTGGGCAATCTTTTAAATTTGAGAAGCTTAAGCTTAGGCATGAATAATGTTTCAGGTGAACTCCCTGAAGGGATTTTCAACATGTCCACTTTGCAAAACATAGAGTTCCAGATTAATCATCTTTCTGGTGGTGTTCCTGAAACTGTTGGCCTCTGGCTTCCCAATCTGGAAGTACTCAATCTGGCTCACAATCAACTTAGTGGATCAATTCCAATTTCCATATCAAATGCTTCCAAACTCGGACTCATGGATCTATCTGAAAACTTCTTTGGTGAATCAATACCAATGAACCTTGGCAACTTGAAACAACTTTGGTTCCTCAATCTTCATGGTAATCAACTAAATAACCAGCCAGGAGCTAGTGAGCTTGACTTTCTTACTTCCTTGACAAACTGCAGAGTTTTGGAAGAATTGTCTATAGGGTCTAATCAGTTAAACGGAGTACTTCCAGATTCTGTTGGAAATCTTTCCACTTCTCTGATAAAATTTGACACATACAATAGCCAGATCAGGGGAAGCATTCCTGTTGGAATTGGGAACTTGAGTAACTTGTTAGAAATTAGGTTTGACAACAATGAATTTAGTGGAACTATTCCTGCGACCATCGGAGAGCTAGGGAAGCTTCAAAGGTTGTACCTTAATGGGAACAAAATAGGAGGAAGAGTTCCAAGTGAACTTTGTCATTTGAGACACCTAGGTTACCTATTGCTGGGAGAAAATAAACTCTCAGGATCAATACCAAGCTGCATTGGAAACAATAGCCAACTTGAAATAATCTACTTAGAGTACAATGCATTGACATCAAGAATTCCAAGTAGTTTGTGGAGTCTAAGAAATTTAGTGTCTTTGAATCTGTCCTCTAATTCTCTGGATGGAGATCTCAAGCTGGAATTTTCAAATTCAGCTTCCATTGAAGAGATAGATCTATCTCAGAATCGATTATCAGGAATTATCCCAACCACCATAGGAATTCTCAAAAGCTTACCCATCCTTGCATTATCCCATAACTCATTTCAGGGTCCTATTCCTCAATCGTTGGGAAACTTGATGAGCTTGGAAATCTTGGACCTCTCTTTCAATTCTCTGTCTGGTAAAATTCCCAATTCCCTAGAAGATCTTGTTTATCTCATAGATATGAACTTGTCTTTCAATAAGCTCTATGGAGAAATTCCACGAGGAGGGTCTTTCTTAAACTTCACAGCCGAGTCTTTCATGGGGAATGATGCATTGTGTGGTGAACCAAAATTTAATGTCCCCCCTTGCACCTCAAGTACTAATGTTCACCAACGCAAATCTCATTTGCGTATTCTCAGATATATTTTCATCTCCATTGCTTCAACAGTGGTCATAGTTGCTTTCTTGTTTCTGTTAATAATACATCGAACAAGGAAAAGACAAAACCCAGTTCAAGTTGATTTATCACCTCGGACAAGACACAAGCTGATCTCCTATCAGGAGCTTCTACGCTCAACCAACAACTTCAGTGAAGCAAACCTACTTGGAGTAGGGAGTTTTGGTTCTGTATACAAGGGGACCCTGTTCAATGGTATCACAGTTGCCATAAAGGTTCTGGATTTACAACTTGAGGGGTCATTGAAGATATTTGATGCAGAATGCAGAGTTATGAGCAGGGTTCGTCATAGGAACCTTGTCAAGATCATCACCAGCTGCTCCAACCTTGAATTCAGAGCTCTGATTCTCCAGTACATGCCTAATGGAAGCCTAGAAAGATGGTTGTATTCTCACAACTACTGTTTGAATCTCCTTCAAAGTGTGAACATTATGATAGATGTTGCATTGGCATTAGAGTATCTGCATTGTGGATATTCAGTGCCTGTGGTGCATTGTGATTTGAAGCCAAGTAACATCCTGCTGGACGAAAACATGATTGCACATGTAGCTGATTTTGGCATTGCAAAGGTTCTTACTGAAAACATGTCAATCACACGAACCAAGACTCTGGGAACTATTGGTTACATTGCACCAGGTAAACTTTAAATGCTGTTTCAACACATATCTGGAGATTTAGTAGTTACATTGTTTACATTTAAACACATTAGTCCTTGGTCAATATCATTTAGCTAACAGAAAATCTCTCTCTCTCTCTCTCTCTCTTAATTTATTATAAAACCTTCATGTATTTCTCTATCCATTACCAATTTTCTATTCAATTTACTCAAGGAAAGTATAAATTTTCTTACTTTTTTAGTTATGTTGCCTTTGACATTTTAAGTTATGCTTTCCATCAGACCCTTCCATATCATTGCTTTCCTATAAATGTACTTTGTCAATAAATTCTAGTCAGTTGTAGTTGAGTGCTAGAAAAAATACTGAGGATCCGTTTGGTTCACAGTTGGAAATGGAATCGGACGGCAATCCAAATCCTTCAGAATCAAAATTGGAATGGTCTATTTACTTCACCTTTTTGGTTCATACTGGGGCTGAAATGGATTCTCATTCCCAGGGAGGGGGATTCCCTCGTACGGGGAATGCCATTCCATCAGGAATGGGAATGGAATTTTGATTCTGTCTAACAAAACAGTTGGAATCAGAATAGACCATTCCAATTCCAATTCCAAACCCATATCCCACAAACCAAACGAACCCTGACAGAATATAAATAAGGTTGAGCAATTAGGTATAAAAATTATTAAGCAAAATCCTTACAAGATCTATCTACCCTCAACCTTGCTGCTATGAAATGAAAATAAAGAAAAATTCCCTATTACTCTTATGCTGATTTTATGATATATTCTACAATAGAGTACGGAGCGGAAGGAAGAGTTTCAACAAGAGGTGATGTTTATAGCTATGGGATCATCTTGATGGAGACATTTACCCGGCGGAAACCAACTGATGAAACCTTTGCTGGAGAATCAAACTTGAAGCAATGGGTAGAAGCATCATTCCCTAGTGCAGTTATGGAGGTTGTGGATGCCAATATTTTGAGAACAGAAAATGAAGGAGGCCTAACAACAGGAAGATACCAACGTTGTCTCTCTTCCATTATGGAATTAGCCTTGGAGTGCTCAAGGGAGTCACCTCAAGAGAGGATTGACATAAAACAAGCTGTGGCTCGACTTAAGAAGATCAAGTTGGAAATTCTTGCTAATGAAGGAGAAAATCGAGTAATGGGCTGAAGAATTATGCTTGTTATATTTATGAGAATACATGAATGAAACAGCATAATACAATAAAAAATAATTGACTTGGTGGCATAGACGCTCTATGTAAAGCTTGGTATAGAGAATGTAATCAAGAATCTAAGGCTGTGTTTGGCAACGATGCAAATAAGTGTAAATGCAAATTTGTAGAGTGTAAAACGGTTCATATAAATTGTAAAGTTGGGTTAGTTTTGCACTGACAAATTTAACTTTTTACTAAATAGACTTTTAGTTGTAATAGATGCAAGCACGAATTTCAATAAAGCATATGCTTTTTTATCAAAAACCCATTTGAATGCAAATTTATTTCTTTTTTATTGATGTATTTTTACATCTTATTATCAATGTAAATATCTATGGTGTATCATTTGTCAATGCATAAATGTAATGTTGCAAAATACAGGCATTTACCCTGAACCGGGATTTGAACTCCATATGCATCATTTCCAAACACAGCCTAAGTGGTTCTTATTGTTCAATGAAATATATAGAACCGATATAATCGATTTGATTTGATTTAGTACGGTTAGATAGAATCAACCCACTGACATAGTGATGCAAACAGGATACGAATTGAGATATATCTGAATCTAATCCGATAATATAAATCTCATATCCAATTCAAAGATCTGATGGGATCTTTCAGAGGTCAGCTCGAATTTGAATTCAGATATTGGAATCTAATCTGATTTGATTTAATTTCTGTAAAATTTAACAAATTATTAAAAGAAAAAAACATGATTATATAAAGAAAAACAAAAAAAAAAATACAAATATTTTATCATCTATTTTTATCATAATATATATGTCTTTTATGCGTTCCGATCCGAAAATCCTGGGGTATCTGACAACCGGTCCATTTGCACCCCTTGGATAAAATTTGACCGGAATTGGTCCAAAGGCTGACTTGACCAGTTTGCTCCAGCTCATGGCTGAATGGTTTAACCATCATGTCCGGTCCGGTTGTGAAACACTTGAGCATTATCGGAGTAGTAAAGATAACGTAGAGACTGAACTCCCACCCCCAGTCTATTCTTCACTTCTCTCGATCATACAAAACGAACAAAAACTATAATTTAAATTCCCCGCTATTTCCATTCTTTTCCATTTTTTTTTGTTTTGAAATTCTTGGATTCTGGCTTCTTCCTGAAACTACCAATCCATGGCTGTTGTTAATGCTTCATGTATTGCTTCTGCTAGTGTTCTACAAGCACCCATTCCATCCTCAAATGATCTGTTCAATTCTCCTATTTCAGCCATACCCATCTCATCATTCTCCTTTAGAAAGCCAATCCGCTTGTCTACAAAACCCAGCATCGACAGCGAGCTCTATAGTTCTGCAGAGCCTGCGAAATGGAGGACGAAAGTTTCTTTCTTTCAGTCTTTCCTGACGAAAACCAAAGACAGTAAGGGCCTGAAGGAGGAGCTTCTAGAGACAATTGCTCCACTTGATCGAGGTGCGGAGGCCACTCCTGAAGCCCAAGCACGTGTTGATCAGGTGGGTTTCCTTTGGTCCCTCTCTGCCTCTCGTTTGAGTTGTCTGTGCTGCTTCAGGATTGAATTTAGATCTCAATTTGTCTAATAAGCACAAATGCGGAATTATATCGAAACCCAAATGGGAACTTAGACGAGTTTTAGCAAAATTGACTAGTTTTTTTCGTTATCTGATTGAGTTTCTGTTGTTTTGGGATGTAATAAGCTTCAATCTTTGCCATATTGATACAGAGGAGAAAATCAGAATCGGAGAACGAAATATAAATCAAAGAGGCAAAGAGGGTCAGATTAGTCGTATTTGGTGTTCTAGATGTTGGCTGACAAGTTCCTGTGCAAGTTTAATCGATAATAATAGCTTCGGTTATACCCTATATTATTTGTAGTAGTTCATACCTTAGGATCTGCATGACATATCGCCTCAGAACGATCCTTTTTAGAAGCTTCTATCTATATAGAATCCTGTAATGAAAGTAAATTCATGAGGATGTAATCCTTCCTTGGTTGATTCTTTGCTATGTTTTATAAATTCCTGTCAAAGAGATGCCATTCGTCATACACTACATCATGGACATTGGTTGCACTCAGTTCTGCAAATAATTCATACCTTCGAGTCTATGTTGCTCAGACACTACAAATGAATATTGTACTGCTGTTCTACTCTTCTTTTCTGAGTGCAACCAATCCTCATGCAGAAATGCAGGATAGAGCTTTTGTTATTCCATTTGACTGCATTAAACTTGTGGTTTGGAAACTATGGCTTCTGTGGCATGAAGATATGGCTTGGGTTGATAACCAGCGCTTTCACTGTCATAAAAAATTTGTCTCAAATCTTCATGTAGCAATGATCTTTTCCACTTCATGATCAGATTAGTTGTTTATGATGATTTCTATGTATTGATATGAGGAGGAGCTTGTAGGTAATAGGTATTCTGGACTTAATCTCAGTCTTCAACTTGTGGCAATATATCTAGTTAACCTGAAAGAAGATGTTCTATGTTTAGTTCCTGACTTTTTTTCCTTAAGAGTTTCTTTTGTTGATTAGGTTGCACGTAAACTAGAAGCAGTTAATGAAATAAAGGAGCCATTGAAGTCCAATTTGCTAAGTGGGAAATGGGAGCTTCTGTATACGACTTCAAAATCAATCTTGAAAGCTCAGGTGCAGCGGCATCCCTAATTTTTTTTTTCTTCAAAATGTCCTGTCAATTTCCTAAATGCAACTTGTCTTGTACCAAAATTGACGGGCTTGTCTGAAATATCTTCTTCTTCTTCTTCTTCTTCTTCTTCTTTTTTGAGAGAAGGTAAGTTATAGAATTTCATTCAAAAAAAAAAAAAAAAAAGGAAAACCCCTGTAGAACAAGTGTGACTGTACAATGGGAAGTTACAATAAACATCTCCCCCATTTTCTATAGCAGCACATATCCCTGTTTGTTTACAAAAGGAGAACCATAAACAAAAAAATGAACTATAACTTCTTCCTTTGTAATACTTATGCATGGATAACCACGAGTGTATTTTTCCAACATTTTTCAGCACCACTGTATCTACTATTTTATCCTTGTTTTGGAAAATCCTCCAATTTCTTTCCTGCCAAATACCCCAGAACACAGCAGCTGTATTATGTTCCATGCTATATTGCCTTTCTTGCTCAAGCCTTCCAACCTCCACCCCTAAAAAAATCCCATGACTGAAGCTTGTGTGCATTCTCTAACCACAAAAAGGTTCAGCATCTTGCTCCAAATAATGCAAGCAAAACTGCAATAATAGGAAAATACGATCCACAGACTACACATGGCCATCACAAAAAACACGATAAGCTTTGTCCAGATTCATCCCTCTCTTTACCAAGTATTTTCTAGTCAAGATCCTGTTCAGGTATGCCTTCCACATAAATAATGCTATTTTAGATGGAATACACTTCCCCATATGGTGTTTCTAGGAATCTTCTGCTCATTGGATCTTAGACAAATGACTGCAGACAGATCAGACCGAAAATTTCCTTTCCTTTTCCAATGCCCAAATCTTCTTATCAGCACTGCAGTAATCCAGATGAATTCTATAAAGAAGTTGTAACAATTCTGTCATGGGTTCCAGCTCCTAGTCATTAACTTTCCTCCTAAACTGAGGCATCCACACAATATCGCATTCTGAATCTTCATACAGCTTGCCAAACTTTCATCTTTACCATATGCAATATCAAATAACTATGGGAAATTTTCCATTAGAGGTCTGTTAATCCATATCCACACCAGAATTCCTTCCAGAACCTTCCACCCCATTTCCTGCCTTGTATTTCACTCCTTCACCAAACAAATCCTGAATTTTTTCAATTCCCTTCCACACAGAACACCCATAAGTTTGAGAAACTTCTCCTGGCTGACTGGCTCCCACCCCATATTTGGTCTGAAATATCTTTTTTGGATTATCTTGTTGTGAGGAAAAGAAAATAGAGGGAAGAAGAGAGAGGAGAGGGACAGAAGAAGAAAGATGAAAAAATAATGAGAGAGCAAAAATAATAGGCTGGCGGTGCCAGCTTTGATATTTAGACCGTAGGGCAACAATAATAAAAATAGTAAAAAGACTAAAGTGCCCTTGCGGGACATAACTAAGAACATTACAACAGATTAGGTGTTTCTTAACTATGTTGTTCATTTTCATTTTCTTGAACTTGAAATTATATTCCTTTTTTTTCTGTACAAAATGAATGATCTTGCATATAGGACTAGTAAGGGTGGTGAAACCTACCAAATTTTTGGTTCTGGAAAATATGCTTAATATTAATTGTACTTTACTCATTATTGAAGTATCTAAGTAATCATTAGTCTTTGGTACCACTTCTCAGAAATCTAAACATTCATCCTTGTTGCCAGAGAATGAAAGATAAATATATATATATATGGTACAGAGTTATAGAAATATATAACTATATATACTTAGAAGCCCATGCAATAGTTTGTCTTTCTCTCACCAAGTATCATAGGTTTTTCTTTTTTTTTTTTATTTATTCTGTACGAAATGATTGATATCTGCCATATGATTCTTCAAAAGGCTCTGTTACAATGATCAATCTCTCCAGAAATCATTTCTCCATTTCCAACAGTCCCATGCTTTGCTCTCATCTTGTTTTAATTATTTACTTCTTATGCATAAGCATCCAATTTCAATAATTTCTGTGACAGAAATATAATTATTTATATTTAAGCCCACCTGAAAAAAAGAAAAGACATCTACTTATACCTTTCTTCCATATTGTAATTTGTAACCCATTTAGCCCTTAAAGTCATATCAAAATATTCCATGTTAAAATGTCTTCTGAACTATGAACTTCTTTAGAATTTTATCTGATTCCCTGTTCTAGTTTCACACATCTATCCATATCTAAATAATGCAGTCTCGAGGTGTAATCAGGTATTTCTCTCAGGATGATTTTCTTTGCCTGCTTAAATAACATTACCTTATTTTTCATTTATCTTTCTGATTTGGCATGCTACTTGTATCATGCTTTGGATACATTAATTGGGCAATGTCACCACTGCCATATAGGAATAGACATTTTGAATTATAGAGTGCATTGTTTACAAATATGGTTAAGAAAGGGAATTTTGGTATTAGAAAATTAACCTTAGTAACTTGTTTGACACATTATTTCAGGGCTTATGCATAAGTAATTTCTTTCTGTGATTTCTGGCTATTTTCTCCATAATATAACTGGAAATATTATAAAAACCTCATAAGAAATTTATTTATTTTTTTTAATTCTTTCCCAAACATTCCAATTTTTCAAATTAAGAAGTTACAAGTGGTCAAATGTTATGATCAATTCAATAGCAAAAGTTACTAATTGGCTATTAACTAAAATATTTATATAAATAAAAAAATAATGTTTCAATCATTCCATTGCTACAATAATTTATATCCATAGAACAAGGAAAAAAAATATACCAAAAAGGGCATGATATAGATCACAGGATCTTCCAATAACTTGATATAGTAAAACAAACTTCTGTTTATGGGAAATTCCTAGCTTAGGATACCCACCACTTTACAGAAGCTACATTGGGTCATGTTACTGGAACTAAGAACTTGGGAGGTTAATCCTGTTTTTGGGATCATCTTTGTCTTTTCCTCTTAGCATAATTTGCTCAAATATTTTTATTTCTTGTCACGATGTTGGATGGTTATTGTATGTTTAAGCTTTTACCTATCCTATCAGCTAATGTTATCTTATTTGAATATAGATAAACATTTCTCTTAAAGCTTCTTATCCAGTTTCTTTTTTCAGAAATTTTTTAGTACATATGCAAGGAATAGAGAATATTTAGAAAAGTGACTTATGATGAAAAAGGATTTCTAAAAGAGAAATACATTTTCTCTTACTTTTTGTGGTGCATGTGTGTGTATTTCCTCTGCAAATAACTCATATGCAAAATGTTACGTGCAAAATTATCTTTTTCTCAACCTGAATATCAATGGTCTTACGTGTGACAGAGACCAAAATTCTTAAGACCAAATGGAAAAATCTATCAGGCAATTAATGTGGATACATTAAGGGCTCAAAATATGGAAACTTGGCCATTCTTCAATCAGGTACTTCTCTACTTTATGGCTCTCTTGTGCTTATAACTATCATATGTACTATGGGTTCCTCATGTTTTAATTTTCTTATACAAAGAAAAAAAAAACATGAAACTAAATCATTACTAGCATCAAGCTGTCTTGGTCATGTATAGAGTCCTGACCAGCAATCTTTTTGGATTTTTTTTTTTTTTTTTTTGATTAAAGACCTCAGGCCACTTTCACTCAACAAAATTTTCTTGGTTTACAAAACCAAATTCTCTCAAAATAGGTAATATACTAATATCAAACTGAACCAAACATGCATACAAGAAGGTGATTCCCCCAATCGGTAATTGAAACTAGATGTGCCAATTTTTGTGAGGTGATGGTCGACCTGATTGGAAGACTTTTTTGTATGAGTAACCAAGATAGGTCTGAACAGTGTGAGAAGCCTCTTGCAGTCAGTGACATTCCATTTTATGTCCTTTGATTGATAGAAGTGTTTTCATAGTTACATGATCGATCACTTTGATTTTCAAAATCCGGGCTTATCATATGGTATATCCTAGAGTACAAAAAGTGATTCCCATATTACATAGCACCACAAATGTGAAAGATACTTCTTCAAGCCTCTATGCAATTATGCATCATAACATGCCATACAAAAGCAGCAGGGTCCAATTTGAGGCTGCTGCTGTGATGTGTGGAAAACATAGGTGCTATTGGTCCATAGATAATTCTCTGAGTAGAACATCAAACCAATGGAGACAACAAACTAAGAGCCCAGCAAGGATTTCCTTGTAGTATGAATGACCTATTGTTAATACCAAAAGATGTATCATCATGGACACTTAGGTGATGTGAACACATGAAAAGCATTAGTAATCTGAAGGAAATATAAATTATTAAATTCGTGACCAGTGTATCTCATATAATCCATATTGGTAGTGGAGGCACCATCACAGAGGATATATGCAAGAACAACAAGTTGGAGATGCAATCCATATGGGGTAAGGTTTTCAATGTCTACATATGAGTTTTGGGATATAAAGGTGAGCATCAGATTGATTTCAATGATTTATGTTTCTTTAGAAATAAGGTCTTCCTGATCAAGACAGACAGCATTTCCAGAACTCCTTTCTATTGATAAAACATGGATTGTACACCTAACCATGCTATTTCAGAGGGAACTTTCTGCATATTTTCTGAAGATTTTATAGGCTAATGGAGCACTTGTATATGCCTTATCCATGTTGCATCATCCATTCCTTCAAGGCTTTATTTCTGCGTGTGTCCCAAACCTACAGTGATTTCTATTTGCAAGCACAATATCCTTGACTTAGCTCATGGCCCAGTGTTACATGGACTTGGATATGAGAATCAGAACCCCATGTGTGTCTAGACAAGGCAAAATGAAGAAGCAAGGACTTGCAGATACATTATAGAAAAGTATAATCTATTAATATAGTCCATATTTGTTGAATTCTAGCAATACAAACCTATAGAAAAAGGTCTAACAGATATTTTTGTTACTTGATACTGATGACATTTTATAGAAAAAATCACATTCATTGTGTACATTAGCTGTTTATTTATGTTGAAGAAGCAAGAAGGAAAATAATATTGTCAAATAGAAATGTCCTTAAGAATCCATAAGAGTGTCGTAGTCTGATACATGTCTAAAACAGACACTTTACACCCATTTAGGAGACTCCATGCAAAATTACCATGGCCTAGTGCAAAACATGTGACCCAGTTTTATTCATCTCATAGCCCAAATGCAAGTCAATTCCAGAAAGCATTTACGTGGAAGAGAATATTCTTGGTTTTTATTTATTTATTTATTTATTTATTTTATTTTCTTGTACAAGGTAGCATTTCCCTAGCTCTTTTCCACAAAAGAGATTGCATTCACCCTTTCCATTTTATTGAATGGAATTTGGAATTGCATCCTCAAATTGCTTGCATAGAAGTCAGACTCTCCTCTTTGATGATGGATGCAATTTTCCGTTTCCTTATGATTGCTGATTCCATGGTTGGACAGGGTTATGAGGCTATATCCAATGTCTCCATCCTTCTTCTTTTCCATTTTTCAATCACTGCTATCTTCTCCTTCCTCTTCTTCATTCTTTCTATTTCTGTTCAAAACCACTATTCAAAGCCAATTTTGGAGTGGAGACCATGCTGTATCATGTTTGTATCGCCAATGCTAGGGAGAACATTCAGTAATCCAATTCAACAGTTGAATCAGCAAGTCCACTATCTTGACCTTGGTCATCTTCACCTATGTGCTATATAATGGTATCAGTAGTTGGGTGCTGATGGGTTGCATGGGATGTGGTTAATCCAGAAAGCCAACAGTCGCCCTGATTCAAGCTATAGGAGTCCCTACATGAAACAAAATTGACTGGAATCAAATTAATGGAAGTTATGAGGGGTAAGATCACTATTATGGTTGGGCCACTAAGAAAATTTCATAAATAACACCAAAAATATCTCCATCAAAATAACATAAAAAAGATGCCTAAATTTTGCATGATTTTATATATTAAACAGTGTTGACATATGAACATTCATAGAAGCCTTGAGTATTAAGCTAAAAAATTGAAATGTAAAAAAACGTATGTCCTGTTCCCTAACTTGTTAGCTGGATAAAAAGTAAAAGATAACCTAAATTTAGGTGTCTAGATAACATTCACTTTACGGTGATCAAAAAAGATAATATTCACTTTACATCTTAATTTTTCTTTTCTCATGTATCGGGAAATTGCTATTCAAAGTTCATACATGTGGGAAACTACACGTGCAACCCCTAGAAAGGGCAAAAAAAGAATGCATAGTTCTGAAATATTAGTGAAAAAAAAAAGCTGATAAAATAGAAAAATATGAGAAGAATAAGAAGGAAGAGAATGAATGAGATGTCTTGATTATGCCCCATTTTACTAATATATATATATAGATAGATAGATAGATAGATAGATAGATATAGATTTAGATTTAGATATTAAAGGATCAAATTACAAGTCATCCCTTAATTTGGCTTCTCAATAGCAGCACAAGTACAAAGACTATATTTACCCCATCCTTGTCAACATGCATAAACTATAAAAATTTTAGAACATTATTCTCATTTAAAATGTGTAAAAATAAAAGGTAAGAGAAGGAAATATGTAATAACAAAATTTAGAATTCCAGAATGGTGACTACCATCTTCATGCTCTCTCTTTCTTCTTTTTCCCCTCAGATAAGAGTAGTTGTTCTGAAATAGACACCACATGCATGGTAGTCAAGGTTCTTAAAGCCATGTTATGAGTGGTTGGCTCGTAGGCAGATATGTTTCTCTTTTCTGTCTAAGATTCATTTTCTTTGTTTACCCTGTTTATTATTTATCTTTCTCTTCTTTAGTTAGTGTGGGGCATGGGCAATTTAGTCTTTTATTATTGCAACTTAGAGGGTAGATTAGTCACTTTTGAATGATTTACTAAACAGGGGTACTGCTGTAATTTCCTCATGATTTATTAGACCAATATAAATAGTATTCTAGTCAACTGCACAATAACCTGGATATTGGATCTGTCTCTGCACAAGCCTTATCGGAGTTTAGAGAACATTTATTTGAGGCTCATTAAAGCTATCAAATTGAAAAAAACAGATCAAGCTGTTCCTTTTTCCTTTCTTTCTTTTCTCTTTTTGAAGATCAAACCTGTTATAATCAAGAAAAAGGAGTTTCATAATAAAAAATGATCACCAAGAGTTGGAAAACCTTGAGTTGAAGAACCTTGACATAGTCATAAAATACTCATTTGTCTCATATTTTGGAGATTAAAAATAATACTGAAAAGCACAATAGTAGTAAAATACTTTCTTTAGCAAAAAACTAGTGTATATGCCAAATGAAGAGCCTATACTAGAGCTGCAGTACAAAGTCAATAAATTCATAGAGCCACCTTCATGGAAGATCATCTCCTACAAAAAGGATTGTTATATATGAACTGTTAATGGGAGAACCAATTTCTGTTGAAAGGGATTACACAATAAATGAGTGGTTAGGGATTGTAAAATCCACCACAATTTTGACTGGATTAAGTGTGGAGACTCTATAACTTGATGTATCTTATTAGTATAGTCCTTGTTGTACATTACTTATACTTCTTATTCTTCTTTTTTCTTTCAGCCCTATATGGGCATTCTTGTAATTGTACATATCTTTTAATATATAAGAGACTCTTTGAGGTGGGGGTGATTCATTCTTGACACCTCTAAGATTATTCTTGTTCTTCTCTCTATTCAAACAAGAGCGTTAACATGGTATTAGAGAAGGTTGCTCTCTGATCTATTCTCTCTCTCGTGAAACTCACTAGAAGCAGTAACCCTGTCATATTAGGTCTGTTTTGATCAACCCTTTTATGTTCAGTCTTCTTTGCGCAACCAGCGTGAGAGATTTCGTTAGATCTCTCTTGTGAGACATTGGTTTGAGGCCAAACTTCAGATCTGGTGTTGCCTAGACCTGATCTACTCTTCCTACAAACATCATCTGGTTTGGTGAAGTTTTTCAAAGGAGTTCTGATATTCTTCTTGGGGTGGAAACACTGTACAATTTTCTTTTTTGGACTGCAACAGCTTTGGACTTCAGATCTGGTGTTGCCTAGACCTGATCTATTCTACCTACAAACAACATCTGGTTTGGTGAAGTCTTCAAAGGGGTTCTGATCTTCTTGGGGCTGTAACACTGTACAGTTTCCTTTTTTGGACTGTAACTCTTTTTTGGACTTCTAGCCTTCTACATCAGCCTACGATCTGAGTTCTTTCTCTCTAGATTGGAGGGTCCTCTCAAGCTCTTCTTAATCCTACACTCAGTTTCTGGTTTGGAAATTTCTAGGGACTGTTTCGATCAGCACAAGATATCTCCTTATTCTTGAAAAAGACACCTGCTGTGTTGATAAATCACAGTTTTCTCTCAATTGGCTGACTCGATCAACTTATAACCCTAGATCTTGTGTCGTGTTAGGGTTTTTTTGCTCCCCATTTATTTGATTCAGACTTCAGATTCATATTTGAAGAGTTTTAGACTTGACAGTCTTAAAACTTGCCTTTTTTTGGACTGTCATCCTGAGTTCTTGATTGCTGAATTTGGTTGTCTCTAATATCGTAGTGCCTGGACTGCTGTTTTCTTGCTGAAATGGTCTCCAATAGAGAAGATATTATTCCTATAAAGCTGGAAGGATCAACCTATGGAATTTACATTGTTGCTGTAGCACATAGGAGTAAGAAATCTACTATTGATGGTGATTCTTTTGTTAAAGGCGATTCTCTTGCATCTATGGTTGAGGAAAACATTCGACAACTGGTAACTTCTGCTATTTCTTCTACTCTTTCTGCTATTGGCTTACCTAGTGAGTTTTCCGGTTATTGTGCTTCTTCTTCTCATACATGGATCATTGACTCCGGAGCTACCAGCCACATGACAGAGCCTACCCTAACCAACCAAGTAACCTTACTAAAACCCATCACAAACATATTGTTACTGCCAATAGTGAAAAGTTAAACATCATTGGTAGTAGTGATCTGTCTCTTAAGCTTCCACCCACTGCATCTTTCCCTCTTACCAAGACTGTTCTTGTTCCTAATCTCACTACAAACTTGATTTCTGTTGGCCAATTAATTGATGAAGGTAACATTCTCATTTTCTCTCAAGATGGATTGATTCAAGACCGGAACACTGGGAAGGTGAAAGGGAAGGGGCACAAGTTGGGTCGTCTGTTTGCATTGGAGTTTGAGAAGCCTCAAACAGCAGTAGCATCAATTTATTTCAGTTCCTCCACTTCTAGTTCCTTTTTGAGTCATAGAGATAATGTTTGGGACTTATGGCATAAACGTTTGGGTCATTTACATTCCGAAAAATTAAAACTTTTGTTTAATTCAGGCCTTATTAAGAATAAAGTTCCTTCTTTGCACACCTTTGATACATCTTGTGTTTCTTATTGCTTAAGTAAGAGTCGTACCTTACCATTTCCTCACATATCTGAGCATGCTACCTCTCCCTTCGAGCTTATACATAGTGATGTCTGGACTACTTCTGTCTCTTCTCTGCTTGGATACAAATATTTTGTGTCGTTTGTCGATGATTGTACCGAGTACACATGGATATACTTTCTTCGCCACAAGTCTGAGGTGTTCCCAACATTTAAGTTGTTTCATGCTATGGTGCGGGTTCGGTTTCAATCACAAGTGCGTATTCTCTGTTCGGATTTAGGGGGAGAATACACCGATGGAGATTTTTTATCCTATTTGAAGGACCATGGAATACAAGTGCAACGAAGTTGTCTAGATACTCCTCAGCAGAATGGTGTGGTCGAGCGCAAGAATGGACATATCCTTAGTGTTGTGAGGACATTATTGCAGGAGTCCCATACTCCACCTTCCTTTTGGGTAGAGGCAGCCAGTACAATTGTGTTTTTGATCAACTATATTCCTTCCTCAGTTCTTTGTAATATGTCTCCCTTTCAGAAGTTATTTGGTCGTTCTCCAGATTTATCTATGCTTCATGTTTTTGGATGTGTGTGCTTTGTTTATCTTCTCTCTCGTGAACGTTCTAAATTGTCTGCACAGTCTGTCATGTGTGCCTTTGTGGGTAACAGTCCTGTCCACAAAGGATTTCTTTGTTATGATCCCTCTATTCATCGCATTCGTATATCACGTAATGTTGTTTTCCTTGAGCACATTTCATTTTTTGCTGGAATTGCTAGATTGTCTGCACTGTTTGTTTCTATTTTGCCAAACTTTGATTCACAAGATGCTCCATCTCCTTCTGTTGAGAAGGACTTTCTTGTCTTCTCTTGCAAGTGGTAACATACTCCATCCCTTGCGCCTGCGACTCTCCTTCCTCCCGGTTCAGATCATCATCCTACCACTGCTCTTGTTAGTGATATCTCTACTTCAAACACACTTCATACTTTTATTCCTCTTCGTCGTTCTACTCGTATATCTAGACCTCCTAACGCCTATGGCTTTCCTTTAAACCATAGCTCTTAGGGCTGAAAGTCAGGCCGGGTTGAGGCCAACCCTAGCCCAACCCTAAGTTCTAAACCCCAACCCGACCAACCCAACCCTAACCCTAACTAAATTCCTTCAACCCTAACCCAACCCAACCTAACCCGAAGTCAATTTCAGGTTGGGTTGGGCTTGGGTTGGGTCCAACCCAACCTTCTTCCCATCCCTTAAAACCTCATAGAATTTCTCGATTTTAGATCTTAACTCAACTTTCACTACATATATTAATCCTATATTTCATTAGTATTTGTTTGTTGATGTTTTTTTTGTTCTTTTGGTACAAAATT